CATACAAATATTACAATTGTAGATATTCACCTAAATGCACATGAGATAGCTTTGAAATCCGTTGATCACGAAGTCTGGCCTCTGGCTGTGAAAACCCTGGCCAGTGCGCTGTCGACACTACAGTAATACCTCGTCGTCTCACACATCAACAATGGCGTACCTGAAACCATCCGGGGAGATAGCGGCATTAATCATAGCCACAAAAACGAAGTGACTAGCACACATGCTTGCAGGCCCGGCCTCTTCAAATCTCCATCATTTTTCAAACCACCCAGGGCTCGCCGGCCATCATCATCATCACCATCGTCTTCATAATTGTCACGCTGCTATATCTTACACATAGCTGGAAGTCTAGTTCCCTATTCAGTTTTATCCTGTACAATCTTTTTGAAATCATCAAAGAAATCCAGTCAATTACCACTGCCAACAAAGTGCGTCTAATGGTTTATCTTGAAACGTATTATCTTGTTGCGTATGTCTATGTGTGTGTCTGTGTGTTCCCCTGCCTGCGCGTGTGTATGTGTTTGTGTGTGTGACTGTGACTACACGTGTGTGTGTCTGTGTGGGTTTATGTCGGTGTGTGTGTTTGTATGGGTCTTTTTGTGCGGCTACGCGTTTGTATGTATGTGTGTGTATAGCTGTGTGTCTATTTGTATCTGGGTTGTACGCGTGAGTGTTTTAGAGCGTCTGTCTGTCTGTCTGTCTGTCTGTCTGTCTGTCTGTCTGTCTGTCTGTCTGTCTGTCTGTCTGTCTGTCTGTCTGTCTGTCTGTCTGTCTGTCTGTCTGTTTGTGCATGTTCGTATGTATGTGGATGTGTGTGTGTATTGGGTGTCTATGTGTGTGTGTGTGTTTGTGAGTGAATGAGTTTGCGTGTGTATGTAGGTGTGTGTGTTCGCGCGCGAGCGTGCGGACATATTTTACCACCCATGCTTTTGTTTTTGACTTGATATTCATAATATGCATATTATAACATGAACATAACATGCTTTATTAATAAAATACGCCCGGCTCTCTAGCGAAGTTGGTTAAACCTGACTTTCGCGGCGGCCGGGTGAAGAACTCCTTGTGGTCCGGGTTCACTCCCGGGGGTAGGCAGAAAAGCCACATTTCTCCCAGATTAACGGTACCTTTAATGGAATCAATGCCGAAGGGTTGCGATATCCATAGTACCGAGCCAAAGGGTTCACAACTCATGGTTTCTGGATACATTTAAAAAAAAAAAAAAAAAAAAAAAATTAATAAAATACAAGTTCTGTGTGAAAGATGGGAGTTTGGAAGGGCCGAATGTAAGACAGGCCTGCGTGCCTAATTTGTAACCCTTTGAAAATAAAGTTCGTTCGTTCGCTCGTTCGCTTGTTCGCTCGTTTCCTCAATGCATTTATTTTCCCATTTCATTGCCTCTTTAGCTATTCTCTTTCAATTCTGCCCGTAGGTTATACAGTATACCGACATCTTCTTTTTGTCATAACAGTTGATGTTTTGTTATCCTAATCGACGTCACTGCACATTGGGCATTCCCATGTGTGCTCAGTCCTCCGATGCAGCAGCCACTCCAAAGTACTTCTACTAATTGTTTACATGAGAAGCTGGTTATATTGTCTCCTATCTCGGCCTCGAAGACGGCATAGACGTGCTTCATAATGCTTTACTCCCATGTTACGCAATCGTGTTAGTATCAGGAATTCCTCATTATCCACTAGCCGAGTCCGTACAGCGTTGACGATATCTGCTCTGTCCATGCTTCTTGCCACATGCCTTAGTGCAATGCTTGCCAGTTGGTCTGCTCGCTCATTTCCCTTTACACCCGCATGACCAGGTGTGTAGATCCAGGTGAGGGAGGTTAAGTGCGATTTTTGAATGCTTTCTAACCATTCAGAGCGCATACCGCCTGTTGCTATCTTCTGATACAATTACTGCTTGTGTAGCGGTTTGCTCGGATACCCATGCTAATACTCTAGAAGCAGCAATTTCCTTAGGTCATACTAATCTAAAATGAGTAGCTTAGAAAGTTATGGAACCTAAAGGCGATCGGTGTGATACTGACCATACCACCAATTCAGTTCCTCTTGGTCTATGGAGGATGAAGACAAGGAGGAGGGTTGGGAGCAGAAATGGTACAAAAGTTTGAGGATGAGTAGAAAGAGAGAGAGAAAGAGAGAGAGAGAGAGAGAGAGAGAGAGAGAGAGAGAGAGAGAGAGAGAGAGAAGAATTAAAAGAAAAACAAGTACAAAACAATAGGGAGGAGGAAGAAGAAAAGATTGACAATAATGATAGCAATGAAAATAATAATTTAAGAAGAAGAAGAAGCAGAAGAAGACGAAGAAGAAGAAGAAGAAGAAGAAGAAGAAGAAGAAGAAGAAGAAGAAGAAGAAGAAGAAGAAGAAGAAGAAGAAGAAGAAGAAGAAGAAGAAGAAGAAGAAGAAGAAGAAGAAGAAGATTAAGAAGAAGAAAACAAATAATAATAATAATAATAATAATAATAGTAATAAGACGTAGAAGAGTAGAAGAAGAAGAAGAAAAAGAAGAAGACGAAGAAGAAAAAGGGGGTGAAAGAGAACAAGGTGAAAAAGAACTAGTTAAAAATAAGAATGAATAAATTATCTATTTAAAGATTTAACATGATAAGAAAAGTAAGTAAAAGTCACATACAATTCAGGCGAAATGACTTTAAGGCAGATAACGAAACAAAGGTCCTGCCAAATGAAATTCTATATGAAATTCAAAAATGGCTTTACTCACCAGAAGTTCTCAGCCAGCTGGCCACTTGATGCATTGTCTGGGAAAATGTTTCGAAATTTCTACGCTTAATTCGTGCAGGTATAAACAGTCTTGAAGTTAGATTGATGCCTGAGTAAAGTGGTGAGTTGTCCAGTGTCTTTCCTTTAATGTAGGCGATTCTTAAAATCTGGGCAATTGGGATTAGAAAATATATTAACTTATATTAGTGCTACGATTGGTCCAAGCTGTGTTATCGTCATCATCATCATCATCATCATAACCACCACCACCCAGTTGTGCCATTTATACGTCACAAGGGATCGCAGCTTGTTCCGTTCTGTTCTATTCTGTAGAATCATAATTCTATTAATTACCTTTTTCTGTGCCTGTCTGTTGATCCCATGTTACCTTTCTCCTTAAGATGTGTCCAGGATGTTACCATCTACTTCGAATTATAACTTTTGATAACGGGGGCAGCTTTAGCACAGTCGATAAGAGGCTCGCTGTCAAATCCAGCTGCGACTCGCTGCAGCACCAGGTCGGTGTTCGAAACCGGGCGGTTCCCGGGGTTCACCCAGCCTTTAGGAAATGGGTACCAGTGTTGACACTCTGGGGTAAATGGAGGAACGTCGCTGTAGCTACAGAGTTACGTGCGGACAGCGACACAGACGGACAATTCTTATGAGCTGTCCGTACTGGTGGCAGAGCACTTATGGTTTATAACCGTGTGCAATGATGCTGGTTCACATCTCCCGACTTTACTTTTACTTTACTTTTGATACCAGAAGTTGTCTAGCGATTAATCGGAATACAGTGGCGGAACATAAAAAATAAAGAATGGTGAAACTATTCATAAGAAATAAAGGCCTACTCAGAGAAAATAATTACTTAGCTATCAATGCGGGTAGGCGCAGTACCTTAGCGCTTTCTTCCCACCCGAAGATCTTGGATTTGAACCAGTGCCTCTCCGTATGGTTTCCATGACCCCATTTTGGGGGACAGAAGAAAAGATATACTGCTTCCCTTAACAAGCATTTCGTAAAAGTCGACTAATTATGAGTGTTTCATTGGAAGTCAATTAGAGGCGAGTAACCAACAGTCTGCATAATTAAGTCAGATATGTAAAACAAATATGCACGCAAAACTCAAGTTCTGGAATAAAACCAAAGGGCAAAAGTGGGTGGAAGCCAGAACTTTCCGCCAGAGTTTACAGCCGGCGAAAACCAAGAAGAAGAATTAGTGCCGATGTGGATTACATAAAGATGGTCCTAAGCTCCCAGGTCGACCCAGGCTAAAACGGCCACCAGCAGAGGGCGATGGATGGAAACTATAGGCCAAGGAACTACCCCCCCCCCCCACCCCAAATGTCTGTATTTTTATCGATTGTATCTGCTCCATAATAGACCCGAGCTGCCACTGTCGAATCCAACGCAAGACAGCACATCGTCTGCAGCTGGGATCGAACACAGTACCCTCGGCATTTCGAAGCGCGTTTACAACGCTTAAGCCACAGACGCCGACACATGACTGATACATTTATATTGCATTCTGTACCCATGCAACTGCTCAACTGGTCGTGACCTGTTTTTTAGGTACAAAATAATGGTTTGTTTTGATCTGTTCATAATCAGACATTATGTCGTCTAGCACCGTGGGTTTCTGACTCATTTATTGATTCTTCTCTATCGATGGTGTGTGACCGGTATACATGACTGCTCTTTTGTCGCAACTTCCCCTACCAGCTCTCTGATAAGCTCTCTTATTTCCAGGACCTACACAATGAGTCGGCATTCGTTATATTGTGAACACACACAGCTGTTTTCGTAATTTTGGTAGTTTTCCAGACTGGAATGGGTTATGATGGTAAAAATAACTGACACAGAACCTTTGTATATCTCATCTCTGTGAGACCTGGAGTTTCTGTGTATCCAGACTGGAGCGGGTCACACTGAACCTTTGTACAATCTCACGAGACCTGGAGAAAGAAAATAACAGGCTGCACTATCCACAGTCCACGGCCCTGAAAAATAAAATAACAGACTGCAAGACTTGTGGTTTATGCAGAATTGATATTATAGCACTCCGGACAAACCCTTGATGCCCCGTCACCCTCAGCAAAAAACTACAGTATATAGACAGATCTGTGGTGTGTGGTCAAACTTTTTAGTAACCACAATCATAGTAATAATTTCAGCGGATAAATTTCGCTCCCCCTTTTACAGCAAATAGAGATGTATATTTGCCGTCCTTTATTAGGATGCAATTTTTCGTTATTTGAAGCCCTGCTCTGGCTCATGCCAGGGGCTGCAATATAGCCTGGCCATAAATATGGCCTAAAGTCTGAACGCGGTTTTTAGGACCTCTACACGGTGATCCTCAACCACATGGTGGCACATTGTGTCATCGGGTGTTTATCGCTTGTGTGATGTCCTGGTGGGGTAGAAAGTCAGTCAGTCAGCCAACAGCCAATAGGTTTCATAATACAGAGATTATCTTGACCCTGACCCTCACGCCGTCGTCTGAACTGAACAATTATGGCTTCGGTAACTCTTCAACATGGAGCTTTGGTGGCCTAGTGGCTAGCTGCTCGTCCGCCTAAGCCAAAGTCGTTTTTTCGAGTCCCAGTCGTATCGTAAAAAAAAAAAAAAACCGACCTTGGCTCCAAAGTCGATCAGCCAAAATGGGTACCATGTAAATTCATGGAAAGTGAAGGCGGCTGACCCATCAAAGGTCAATTTGTTTATAAAAATATTTGTCTAGTATCATATGCATGATGCGCCACTAAAATAAAATTGGCACCGTCACTTTACTTTTGACTTATTTACTGACTCAATCAGGTATATTCATCCATCGATTCATCCGTCCGTCTGTCCGTCCCCACCCACCGTCCATTAATCCATTTACCCATACACCCACCACCCATCCATCAATCCACCCATCCATTGATTCATTCATTCACCCAAGGCTCACCGCCAGTTGATAATGACATGTCCGCGAATGAAGCCATCACCAAAAATATCAAAGACTACCAATTTACGAGCGTGCCAGCAGGAAGCACTATTAAGATTATTCACGTAACGGATTGATATTTTTTTGTCTGAATGCCAGAACAGCAGGGTTGATGTAAGATACACCGTTCACTCCGTAGGATAGTTGTAATCGAGGCACACAGAAAGGCTGCACTCAGCACTATCTAAGTGATGTCTGGAACTTTGTTCCGTTAAATGAAACTCACTTGACAGATCCCTTAAATTTATATTTTTAAATATCTCTAATTCTCATTCTGGGATTGCAGCGAACAACTTAAGCACCCAGTGACTCAAAGAGTAATTTTTCGGATGCCAATCCAAAAGCACCATTCCCAGGCTCTACTAACTGTGCTTTTTCGATAGTCTTAGGATCCAATCAAACATTGAGAGCACTAAAAAAATGGACCTGTGGTCGATGCAGCTTAAATTCATTTATTCGTTCGTTCGTTCATTCAATTATTCATTCATTCATTCATTCATTCATTCATTCATTCATTCATTCATTCATTCATTCATTCATTCATTCATTCATTCATTCATTCATTCATCAATTCCTTCATTCATTCATTCATTCATTCATTCATTCATTCATTCATTCATTCATGCTTTCGTTCGTTCACTCGTCTGTTCGCTTGTTCGTTCGTTCATTCATTCATTCATTCATTCATTTGTTCGTTCGTTCGTTTGTTCGTTCTTTCGTTCGTTCATTCGTTCGTTTGTTCGTTCGTTCGTTCATTCATTCGTTCATTCATTCGTTTGTTCATTAATTAATTAATTAATTTCTTCATTCGTTCGTTCGTTTGTTCGTTCGTTCTGTCGTTTGTTCATTTATTCATTCGTTTGTTCGCTCGTTCGTTCATTCATTCATTCGTTCATTCATTGTCCTGTGGTGCCAGTATATGCCACATAGGGTTCGCAGTCTGTCCCTCGAATCAACGCTATTCTGTGCAATCAGTTGAACATCATGGATGGAATCATGTCCAGCAGTTTCGGCTTATCTCATCAACGTTCGTCGTTTGGGCGTCCTCGCCTCCCTAATCCGTTTATTTCCAATTTTAATGCCTGTTTGTTAATTCTCTGTTGGTTTTTCTCAGGATGTATCCATATGTAGCGCCACTTTCTTTATCTTATAACTGTTCACACTAGTGGTTGCCCAGACATCTCTCATATTTCTCCAATCCTCCTGAACTCACCCCATTTCGCTTTCATTGTTTTACTCCGAGAGTAAATCGATAACAGAAAATGCCCTGGAAAAAAATAAAATCGGACGTCTTGAAAAACCTAAACACGTAACTCCCTCCCCCACGCCAGTAGACCACACCATCCAAAAAAAAATACAACCACAGCATTGGAACCGACCTCTAAACTAACTGGGTAATAGGAATCAAAGTTAACAGAATACGTACTTGAAACTTGTGTTCGTTCTAACTTCACATCGATCATTTGAATACTGACCACTCGAACATCCTGTAAATATTTTACAAATAGAGACTTAAGGTAAGTGATGACGATGCCAGATTTTTGGGAAGCAGTCTCGCTAATTCTCATAAAATTCCTTAACTCCAGACATTGTGGATTTTTGCTTTTGTATTTATTTGCTACTGCTGTTTGTGAAATTGCGGAAGACTGCATTGCCGTTTTGTACTTCCAGGATTGCAGTCGGCAAGTGTAACACCCCAGGGATGGGAATCTTCTTCTTCTTCTGCCTTTCTATCCCCCAATGGAGCATAAGCCCTCAACCAACTCACGCCAAGTCGTTCTATCCTTCGCCATTGCATGGAGTTCTCCCCATGTCCTCCCAGTCTTTCTAACCTTATTCTCCAGCTGTCTTCTCCATGTGTTTTTTGGCCTTCCTTTATTCCTATGCCCCTGTGGGTTCCAATGCAAAGACATTCTAGTTATGCTGTTCACCTGTTTTCTCAGTGTGTGCCCTACCCAACGCCAGCGTCTTTTCCTCACCTCCTACATGTTAAAATCCCAGTAAACCCCGTCCAATTGTAAATTACGGGGACTGCCGAGTGCAGTGGCCTTTCAGATCGCTCGAGTCCCAAAAAGAACTCCTCCTATCGGTGTAGGAATTGGATAGCAGTATTGTTAAACAAGTGAAAAGCAAGTTAAGCACACCACTTTTGTGTGTAAATAATCTTCATATGTGTCTAATATCATTGAATGTTGTGAGATTTCAATAATATTTTGTTGTAGTTTAGATTTTTCCTGCACTCATTTCTCTTTAATTTGATATATTATATGTCCCTCTACAGCCAATACTTTTTCTTCAGGAAGGTTTTAGCTTTGTCATATTGCAGTAAAAAAAAAAAAAAAATCCGCTCAAAATTAATGCTGTCTAAACGTGAGAAAAAAAATGTCGTTCTGAAAGAGTTAGGTGGTGAAAGATTTCTCTGAGGCGGCTAAACATGGTTTCTTTTCAAAACGAATCATATCAAATTCTTAGGGACACGTCTTGGTACCAGTTTAGGATGGGTCAACCCGTAACCCTAAATCAATTACGATAATACAAATTAGCCTGGGTGCAGATTTGAACCAAAGATGTATGGAGTGTCATACAAGAATCTACTCATTGTGCCACAGCGGCTTCCAGTACACATACATCTCGTCATCTAACCTGCTGTCGTTGGAGCCAATGGGAGGCTTTAGACAAAGTCTGGTCAACTGTTGCAAATTTGACCTTTAACCCCAAGCCATCTTTGCTGTGGAACATTTCTGGCACTTCGTCATAGAAACCTGTATTATAAAAAAAAATCATTGCAGAATTCTGAATCAATTGTCGTTGACAGTTTTGTAACATTGTCATGAGAAAGCAGGTAAATAAACCAGTAATACAATTCATCACTGAGCACTGGTTTGGTCATCTGACGAGAATGACCAGGTATAGAGATTTGGAAGAAATATACTGAACGCAAAGCGAGAGGATGACCACGTAAAACATGAAACGACGGCATCAAAAACAGAAATAAAGAAATAAACTTTGCCTTATAAAACTAATTAGAGACAGAAAAAAGGATCATTCCCCCCCCCCCCACCCTTTCCAACACTTCTATGGGGTAACTGGAGAACAGATGAAGAAAAGAAGTAAGTAAAGAACTCTTTTCCCGACTGTCACCAGCTGGTACACGATGACCTTTCCCAGCGTATTTCCTGATACATTTTTTACCTGGGGGGGGGGGGGGAGGGGGAGGGGGCCAGACGGGCTGGAACAGAGAAACTATTTGGGGAGAGGGCTTCAGACCCCCCTCCCCCCAACCGTCCAATAATTTTATAGGATCGGGTCAGGGGCTCAAACCTAGTTTAACTGCATCATAATAATTAGAACACTTATTCTTATTATCGTGTACACATCCACACTAGGCTTGGCTGGATAGGCATTTAAATGCAGTTTTCAGGTTAAAACACCTACCGATAGCCTCGCATGCTGGCAGCCCTGTCACGTAGAAAATCCGGAGTCCTGTCAGGTACAGTCTGGCTGTTGTTGCCGCTTCGGACCAGAGAGAGGCTTCAGGGTTGAGTTTGTCACATGTACCGGACTCGAGGCACTTGAAAGTCTGTGTTTCAACAGTCAGCACACGCCCTAGGAAATGTTTAAAAAAAAAGGGGGAGGGGGTGGGGCGACATACTATGTGTGTACGCATCATATAAAAATGTGTGTGTGTGTGTGTAATCTGGTAATCTGGTAATCTGGTAATCTGGTAATCCCAGTTTCAGCTTCATAGCAAACGGGTCACCCCATAGTTTCTCCGCTCCTGTGTGTGTGTATATATATGTGTGTGTGTGTGTGTGTGTGTGTGTGTGCATGTGATACAGACAGGGCTGTTGGAACCTGGAGGCCCAGGCATCATGAGTTTCTCTCTCTCCCCCCACCCCGACATTTCTGTGTATGTAGGCATCAGCCCCTCTTGACGTCTCCTAGAAAATATTACAAAAGGCCAAAAGGTCCTAATAACCATGCAGAGAATTTCGCTTTTCTAGGTTTTGTTTTCCATTCTCGTATTGTTTAAAGAAAAAAAAAATTAAAAAAAAAATATTATTTGCCATTCAGAAAAGAATAATAATAAATTATTTTTATTATTGTACACTCGAAATAGACCTAAGCCCATAAAGAACCCCAGCCTTGAAAATTATAAGGTTTTCGTTGTGTCGGCGCCCTTGAACATATGTGTATGCAACATATTTGCAGAGCTAAACAGGAGACAACGAATAAACTTTATTTGAGAGAGAGAGAGAAGAGAAGAAGGAGGAGGAAAGAAGAAGAAAAAGAAGAAGAAGAAGAAGAAGAAGAAGAAGAAGAAGAAGAAGAAGAAGAAGAAGAAGAAGAAGAAGAAGAAGAAGAAGAAGAAGAAGAAGAAGAAGAAGAAGAAGAAGAAGAAGAAAAAGAAGAAGAAAAAGAAGATGAAGAAGAAAAAGAAGTAGAAGAAGAAGAAGAAAAAGAAGAAGAAGAAGAAGAAGAAGAAGAAGAAGAAGAAGAAGAAGAAGGATTATTAGGAAAATAGAGCTAGACAGACGTTTTATAGACCAATCGGCACTCGGAGAGTCATGGCAGCATCACGTCGGTAGTCTTTACTTCCCCTGACAATACCTGGTACCCATTTAAGGTTGGGTCAACCTCGGAGCCAAGGTCATTATAAAAAAAAAACCTGGCACTCTAAGGACCCGAACCCACGACCTTACGTTACATCACGGTGGCTTCCTGAAAGAGCAGCAGTGAAAAGAACAAACTATCGCATAGTTACCAGGAAGTGGTTTCAACTGAAGCTGGCTGTTCAGTCTGTCTACAGTGGTTCTCACGTTATCAAAGGATGACAGGTTCACTTCCACCACATTTCTGGTAGTAGTGGTTCCAGGGAACAAGTTGAGAACCTGTGTACGGCTACCACTAGCGTGGTCGGGTAGTACTGTGATGTACCCTAATTGTTGTGCAGGTGAGTTCGAATCTGTTCTTGGTATCAACCACAACCTGCAATAGGTAGAAAACAAACACGCGTGTGAAGGAGCCATGCTCGCTTGCTACTCGTTAATCATGAGTGATAACTCTTGTTTATGTCAGACTTTAAACAGCATATATAAATCTTGGCTTTCAGGCTACTCTTTTTAATGATGCTATTTGTCCCCTCCAGGATGCTGCCTAAGTGTTTACCATACCATCCTATAATGTAATAATGGCATCCGTCAGTCCCGGGGGACTATGGAGATGTGCCGCTGGCTTTGGGAACAGCATCTGCAGTGACTGTAAAGTCCGATGCGGGAATGGCAGTCTTTGCCACACAGGATACACACAAAAGCAGATACTCTCTCGTTGTGCGGCAGTTTTACTCTCCGGTGTCTCCTCTCCACAGCTCTTTGTGTTCGGTTTCTTTCAAAATGTGACAGTCCGTCTTTTACTTTCTGTCTCCATAGTAGTCGATCTGCAGCTGATTTTTCCCATGTCTCTGTGCCTATGTTGGTATCTATTAGGTCACGTTTGCAACATCTTTATAGCGCAGCTTTGGCCTTCCTGTAGGTCTATTCCCAGTTACCAATTCACCATATAGGAGATCTTTTGGAATACGACCATCCTCCATGCGGGAGACATGTCCCAGCCAGCGCAGACGTCTTTGCATACCATCCTAAGATTTCAAGAAATCTCAATCTAGCCGGCAGGCCAACAATGTAGACCCCAGATAAGCCGTTCTATCGCCAAAGAAGACACAATGATACTTCAATTTTAATTCATCCCAAACAAACCTGAAGGTTATATTTAGGGCAGCTACATTTAGCACGGGTTAGGATTAAGTTTAACACACATTATATAAAGAAAACCGGAAAAAAAACCTTGATGTCACGAAATGTGTTTGACTATCCCGGGAACTCCAGGATTTCATGTGTTTGGGGTGAATTAAAACTAAAGCACCGTCATAATTAGGGCACATATAGGGGCTACATCCGCCAAGTGTAACCTGTAGTACTGTGTGGGTAAGGACGTCCAAGTCCATTCCGCCACTGCCATAACTACTGTAGTTACCACTTTTGCGATGTAGACGGTATTTGAGCCTAAGGAATTTGGACCGCAGACTGTGCAGCTTGGGATATTATGTTTACCCCCCCCCCCCCCCCACCCAAGGAAAAAAAACCACAACTTTCATAGCATTACTGTGGATTCGAACTTGGGTCTCCAGCTTAAGTGCCCAGCGTTTGTAACCTTCTTCGCTTGCAGGTTAGTCTAGCCTAAATTCGATCTCAAAGAACAACAAATTATAAATAATATTCTGGGAAGTCAAGCCAATGGGAGTGATTTTAACTACATTTCCAGTAAAGTGTTTTTTGGCCTATAAACATATGGGTCTTACACCATACACACATGGTCTGGTGGGAGTCTCCGTGGTGAAGTGGTCAAGCCGTTTGCCTCGAGCTCTGGAGGTCGTGGGTTCGTTTCCTGAGGCGTTGTTCAGTTCACAGGTGCACATTTTACCAGGGATCCCTGGGGATCGTTACAGGACTTGTCAGCAGGCAGCTAGCTCTTCTGCGGAGAGAGACTGAGTCATATGGGATAAAACCCGGTGCAATGAAGTCGTTCCTCTCACCTTTACACAAGGCATGGGTCGCATATCAGCTCAGCGTAAACAAGGTACTCCTGGAAGTAAAGGCGACTGCTCTGATAATAATTACAACACCCATCGAGATGAAGCGTCAAGTGTCCCGTGTGTAATTTGTCCTTTACTTTGTACTACACCGCTTTCTTAGTAGGGTAGACATTATCCTCTGCACAAGGGTCCGTTAGTTGTCTGACTTATTTAGAATGGGTGATAAAGCAGTACTAGATAAAATAAACCCAAGAAGAGGTGAAGAAATAAGTAAAATGTCTGAGCAACCACTAAATCAACAGTTATAAGATAGATAAGATCTATGTGTGGGTCCCGGGGGTCTCATTTTAAAGGAAAAAAAAAGAATAAAATGTAAACTAACAAGCATGTCGTAAGAGTCGACTAATTAGGGTTTTGTTAAAATTGGTTGTGTTGGGCCTAAAAGTGCAAATATCGCAGCTTAGCTATAACTACAATACAAAACGTCAACCGCCCTCTTAAAAGCGAACGCAGAAGAAGACAAGAAGAAGAAGAAGAAGACAAGAAGAAGAAGAAGAAGAAGAAGACAAGCAAAAGAAGAAGATAAGAAGAAGAAGAAGAAGAAGAAGAAGAAGAAGAAGAAGACAAGAAGAAGAAGAAGACAAGAAGAAGAAGAAGACAAGAAGAAGAAGAAGACAAGAAGAAGAAGAAGACAAGAAGAAGAAGAAGACAAGAAGAAGAAGAAGACAAGAAGAAGAAGAAGACAAGAAGAAGAAGAAGACAAGAAGAAGAAGAAGAAGAAGAAGAAGAAGAAGAAGAAAAGGACAGCGAAGATGTCGCTATTATGAAAATAGACGAACAGAGAATCATGAAACAGACACTGAAAAGGGAAACAAATGGATTGAGGAAACAAAGACGAGAGATACCCTTAAACAAACGTTTGTGAGAGAGGTCAAAGTTTCTGAACTGGACTCTACCTATGATACCGAAATGATTGTACAGGATAGAAGGGAATAGAAGAATAGACAGCGAGCCTTATGTGACATGTATGTGGCAAACCGGCATGATGATGATGATGATGATCATAATGATGATGATGACGATGATTATCATGATGACGATGATAATGATAGTGATGATGATGATGATGATGTCGATAATGATCATGATGATGATAATAAAAATGATGACGAATATGATAATGATAGTGATGTTGATGATGATGATAATGATGCTGATGACGATAATGATTATGATGATGGCAATGACGTTGCTGATAATGATGATAGTGTGGTATCAAAACCGGAGACAAACCTCAAAATTCTTAGATAGGAGTTTTTCCCATTGGAAGCAACATGCAGCAAAGCCTGGCCAGTCTGCGGCTTGTAATCAGCACTCAGTTTAACAGACAAGGTCTCGCATTTGTAAACTTCAAACTTGAGAGCCGAGAGCAGCCATCTATTTGCTTGATCTACTACTGACCTGAATTAATCAAGTAACAGAAAGTGTATTGATCAGCACTCAAAGAAAGAAGTAGAAAGATAGAAGAACACACTAAACATAAAAATCGAAAGCTTTAGTTACCTTGCCGGGAATTGAACCTGTCACCTCCTGACGGCGTGTGCGCCTTGCCATGGATACAAGTGCACTAAGAACATGGCCAACTAGGCACCCCCCCCCCCCCCCCAAAAAAAAAAGGTGTCTTATTGGCCATGTATATCGTACAGCTTGAAATCCACAACTATAAAATACGGACAGAATTCATTTCAAACCATTGAAATGGCACTATAGGTTACAGAAATTTATATTAACGAAGCATATGTCATAACAAGCACAGCAACGATTTACGAACACAGTAGACCTTAATGCTTTGTCTAGAATACACAAACATTTAAGAAAGAGATTTGATTGGTAGGTTCCGGTGTGTTAAGTCATTTACTACTGACCTGCGATTTAATACCAGGAATTTCTTAGTCAATTTTAACCTATTGCCGCCTGTCATTATAATAAACTCCTATTTTAACCAACCCTGTCTAAGTTATAACCACGCAACAGAGTCAAATAGCTGTAGCTTAAAACCACACTGTCCCGTGTTTGTAATATTTTTTTTTTTTTAAATAAATATTTTTATCTGAGTGTTTGCCACAGCTTACTAAATTTACCACGCTTGGGGTATAGGCAGGGGAGGCTGAGGATTTATGGACGCATAGCTAGTACTGTCGCCACATACTGTGCAGGTGTGGATTTTGGGTGTGCTCCCGACAGAAACAAAATTACCCAACTTTAATGTGTATTCGAACCCAGGTCTTCTGCATGAGGGGCTCAGGAATTACATGAGGTAAAGTCGAGAGGATCGACTTCATTATACGGTCTTTGATCTCAAATGGATTCGTCTCTCTTCGCGGAACATATAGCCGCCTACCGAGAGCGTCACACAAAACACATACTCTATAGCTCTAGTAGCGAACCTCAGGAATGACTCGAGTCACTGTGTCCAAGCTTTTTTCCCCCCATTTCTCAAACCTTTATTTATTTAAGGCGGCGTCAATGGCTTAGGCGTTGTGTGTCTCACTCGCAATTCCAACGTACCGCGATCGAAACCCACTGCTGGCTGCGTGGATTTTTATCACGGCCATCTTGAGATACAGATGGGCGTGATTTTTATCATGGTATGGGGCGTCGCCGGTCGACCCAGACTAAAATGGGTACCAGGCTCTATGTCCTGGGGAAGTAAATACGGCCGGCGTAATGCTGACCACATTACGCACTAGTGCCGATTGGTCTGTTACAAGTATGGGTGAACTTTCCATATGCCCGATGCGCCTACAGGCGTGAAAATGGATCTTTACTTACTTTACTTATTTATTCCCATTGTCGGTGTTATTTGTCTGTCTCCAACTTCAAATTACTTTGTTAGAATAGTCCTACTTTGCGTGATAAAATAAAAAGATGAGATTTCGATTGTGTTTTGTCCTTTAAAATTAAAGACTCGCCTGTCCATAATGTGTTGAGTGATAAAAAGTCAGATTTCCTAAGTCTGTTGTATGTTAAAATAACAGGTCAAATTTTTACAATTGCTGGTTAAAATTACAAATTACAAATAAGACGTATTGAATTGTTACAATAATGGGCTGATTTCTAAAGTTCGTTTTATATAAAAAAAAAAGGTTCGATTTATAATTTTTTTTTAAAAATATCCAGAAACCATGAGTTGTTAACCCCTTGGCTCGGTACTTTGGATATCGCAACCTTTCGGCCTTGATTCCATGATAGGTACCGTAAATCTGGGAGGAAATGTGGCTTTTCTGCCTACCCCCGGGAGTGAACCCGGACCACAAGGAGTTCGTCACCCGGTCACCGCGCAGTCCGGTTTAGCCAATTACGCTAGAGAGCCGGGCAGATTTATAAATAGAGCATTATATATGATTATGTGTTGAGTGGTTCACATGATTGGCTGACTGACCTTTAACCCCACCAGCACTGCACAACAAACAATTACACCCGGTAACACAAAGTGCCACCATTCGGATGAGAATCCCCCATCACCCTCTACGTTATATTTAGGACCACCGACGACAGTCGGAGTGGGGGCTTTAAAAGTAAAAAAAAATAGGGCGGATTATGTACTAAATACATTTAGGCAGAATCTGATCACACACAGTGTGCTGTTCGGGACTACCAACGATGTTCTTTTTGCAATCATGGCATATGACAATAATGAAAGAAAAATATTATTATGTGTGACCCACACACAAAATTAAATAATTAAAAAAAAAAAAAAACATTAGTACCCGAAATCTGCATAGCTAGGTTCTTTCCCTGCAGTCTGCGATTCTTTGCATTCTGGGATGAAGTCAATGTATGTTAGAGGAGGTAACTCGACAAGTTCACTTGTTCCCTCATCTGTAAACGTGTCTGATTGTTTCCCTTCGGTTGTTATGTCTTTGACAAAAGCGTCGTTTGATTTCGTCGTTCCATCACAATTGCCTGCCATCTCCAAGACAACAGGCTGTGATTCCATATCTGATAGTGAACTCACATCGATTAAGATAATGAAAGTTTTGGAAGTACATGTAATTTCATATTATTCTTCTTCTTAGCGTTCACTAGCTGTTAACTCCGGCGGATAGTTAAGGCTGTTCGTCCACTTCTGGACTGCAGCCCTGTTCCAGAACCTGAGTGCTGCGTGTGCATCTGTTTGACTGATCTGAATAATTTGTATGCAAAATGTTGGTTGCTTGCCTCTCAGGCAGATGCACTCCGACTTCAAAAGAACCTCCCAATTAGTCGACTCTCACGACATGCTTTTGGGTAGGCAGTGGGTCTATTCTTGTTTTCCATATAATAGGGTCCCGGAAGCCACACGGGGAAGTTTCATATTAAAGGCATTACTCATCAAGTAGCCACTGGTGTATAATAGTAATAATAATAATAAAAAGAAAGCGTTTTGTGGTCAATATAACTGTGCTTACGAACGAGGATTCCAGTATTAGTACTTTTTTAATTCTCATCCCTGAGATGTTAAAATCCTACAGAATGCAAATCTGGAGAGGAAAAGACAGACAGACAGACAGACAGACAGACAGACAGACAGACAGACAGACAGACAGACAGACAGACAGACAGACAGACAGACAGACAGACAGACAGACAGACAGACAGACAGACAGACAGACAGACAGACAGACAGACAGACAGACAGACACGACAAATGAACACCCATTGTTAATCTCAGTGTCAGAATTATACACACCTTACCGTAACTATTTTGCACACATCGTCACACGTTGTAAGATATTAACTTAGCTGTCAGGTTTCTAATCCTATTCAGCACCATAAAAAAGAAGCCTTGAAGCACTACACAGCCAAAGATCCTAATCACACAACTGCCTATGATCGACCAGTTAGCAAATATGAATAGTGATTTCTTTCCCCACTGCTGAATCAAAGAACAGAACCGCCACCTTAACGTTGCCTAGCTACATGTCAACAAGTAATCACTTGGTAAAAGATCTTAGGAAGACTAAGGACGCCCAAACAGGCATTTGTGTGTGTGTGTGTGTGTGTGTGTTTGTTGTGTGTGTGTGTGTGTGCGTGTGTGCGTGTGTGTGTGTGTTTGGGGGGGGGGGGGGGGAGGATATGAAATATAATTCAAAATTTAAAATATGTTGTGTGTTTGCAAACACCGCGAAATAAATTGCACGGCAAAGGAGAAAATCACTGAAGCTCTAGTTCACGCTTGACACGTTGATTCAAGATTGACTGAAGGCAGTTCAGTTTTAGTAGAATCCACGACAAGCTATAACAACGCTGAGCAAAAGCCGACAAGGTCATATTACAGGGGAGTTTGGATAAGCAGAAGTCACAGGGACCTAACGAATTTGTTCCACTTATCAGGAATTCTACTTGCATAAAATGTCTAAAAAAAATTAATGTCATCCTTACACATGTTATTTCATCCAACCTCTTGTGTTCTATCAACACTCGTTCATAAGTGGTCTTCAGAATGTCGCATCTGTCCAGTATGAGTGTTCCTGTAACTTTCCATTGTGTAGCCAGCAAATCCGCTCTGTTATTTCCTCGCACTTCCCATGCCCGGAAAGTATATCCACGGAATCCCTGTAATGTTGACGTTTCTTGTGTACTAGACAAAACCACTCACTGTCAGCAGAACACAAATAGAAAGACTAGACCGAGTGCAAAATGAGGCCATGAGACTCGGCTGCATAAAAGACACCTCCTACCACGCCATGCGATAGGTCCTGGGTTTGCCGACGATGGCTATCAGATACAAAGTTGCACAGGTAAAAGCGTATATGAGGCTATCGGTTGTCGTTATCCACTCTTTGCACAAAGCTATACACGACACAAAAGAAAGCGCCTCAAAAGAGACCGCTCCTGGATAGCTAAGACTGAAGATTTAATCCAGCATGTATGTGACCTAGACGAGATCAGTCACGGTAAATATTGGACGAATACACCAGTAGACATACAGGGCATCTCTGATTTCATCATATTGGGAAGATACTGCAGGGATAAGACTCCTGCGACTGTCGACACAGAGGTAAGGGAACTGATAGATCAGCATTCAGACCCAGAAGACATCGTCTACACCGATGAGTCCGCAAGGAACGAATCAAGGTCAACATGGACACCCACATCACAAAGGATAAGGAAAACAAAACAATTGGACAGCGGCCTTTACCAGCAACTATTTCAAGAATAACCACGAGGATAGCCGCTGCTTCTAGAGTACTAGCGTGGGCAGCAGAGCAAACAGTCACACATGCAGTAATTGTCTCAGACTCCATGAACATGCTTCAGAAAATAGCAATGTCACGTATCACTCCTGTCACGTGCCTGAAATAAGGATTTCTCCTTCAGAACCAACAGCACTCAGAAATAATTATGTTGAGTCGTTTGGCTCGTATTGGTCTAAGGGATTCCCCGTGGCCAATATACGCTCAACTTATTTCTGGAGTAGGGCAACTCAAGTATTGGCACTACAGAATATATCTGTATATGAATACAATATTCCTAGGCACACTTGGCTGGACACCCCCACTACTTACTAAAGAAAGCCCCCAGGTTATGATAGTCCATTATCATAACCATGTTAACACAAATATTTAAGATTCATACACACACAAATGCTAAACACTTAAAAAGGTGAAATAGAGACACCTAAGTCAGCCATGAAAATGAATGCAAGTAATCAATACAACATATACATATATATAATAGTGAAGTAGATGCCAGATCTCAATAGCTGGATTCCAGAATACAATGTCTAGATTGCAAAGATAACTAAACAGCCAGACTGATCTGGAGATGGCACAAATTCATCCTCGGGAAACATGGGAACTGTGAGGAATATAGCAAAACATGGCATCAAACTGGCACTTATCCTCTTTCTATCGTTGATGCTTCCCTCAGCTCCCGATGATTCGACTGTCTTTGGTAACTCTGCCTCAACTGGATCAGATGGTGAAGAAGTACCTCACCATAAAGGACACAGCAACTGGATAGGCACTTAACAAACCTCTCCCTCTAGTCATTCGCAGCACTGTCCCTGAGCTACACACATACTCTGGCACTGTAGGATGTTTGGGGTATATGGCACCCCAAACTGACGTCAATCTCCACACCTGGTAGTTGGGTGATAATTAGTAGGTAATAGGTTGATGGTTGGTGGGTTGGACTGTGATTCTTCTGCCAGCTCTTCATAAAGGTTTCATCCCAAGCATAGGAAAAGTCCTAGGCGCCACAGACCGCCTTTTTAAAATGAAATGTACTGGCGTCGATGGACACGTCTGAGTTCCAGGAAAGCCGGCAGAATAATACCGCTAAATTTCCATTCAAGCGTTGGTAAGAAGTAGTTCCTTGTATACAGGAGCAAGGAGTAAATCGGTTTCTAAGAAACCACAAATAACTCCACTAATATTTATCCAATAGTTGCAAATTTGAAAATGACGCTAAGTCAAAGCAACTAGAAGATGTAGATATTATAATTATGTCCGATAAAGGCATATATCGATACAAGGGACTATATACCTTTCCGGACGAGTCCAAGTTTGAATGTTGTGTCGAGCCCAGGTAAGACAGGTCTCAACTATTTTAGGGGTGATGCGTAATGGCTCATCAGTAGACGACAAGCAAAAAGTGGTATGCGCGATGAATAGGTAAAAAGCATTCGGCAGTCGCACTTATTAACCTCCCTCAACTGGATCTACACACATAGTCATGCTGGCGTGAAGGGTAATACGTGAACAGACCAACTGGCAACCAATGCACCAACGCTTGTGGGAAGAAGCATGGACAGGACAGATATCATTAACCCTGTACGGACTGGGCTAGTGGATAATGACGAATCTCTGACACTAACACGATTGCATGACATGAGAGTAAAGCATGGTGAAGCATGTCTATACCACTTTCGAGGCCGAGATAGGAGTCATTGTAACCAAGCTCTCACTGGAACAATTAGAAGAAGTACTTTGGAGTGGCTGTTGCTTCAGAGGACTGAGCGCGCATGGGAATGATCAGTGTGCAGTGACGTCGGTTGTGATAACATAACATAGCTAGAACTAACCAACACTCTATGAAACAAGCAACAAAATCGCTCAGTTGTCAGATAAAGTATCTGGATAGCGTCGTCTCGGCATTCACATCTACCCTCATTGGTAGCATTCAGAACTCTAATACACGGAATTCAACTGGATAGTAATCGCCCCATGGGTTAAGGCGCCCCATTGTGACGAGGGAAAAAGAATAGGTCCACTGCCTCCTTACAATCACGTTGTTAGTTAGAGTCTACTAATTAGGGATGTTTCCTTCGAATTTGGAGGTCATCAGTCATGAGAAGCGAGGAACCAACAGTCTGTATACAAGTAAACAGATCTGTAAAACGGATGTGCACACAAGACTAAGGTTCTGCAGCAAGACTAGAGTCGAGAAGTGGATAAACAAGCATAAATTCCCGCCGGAGTTTGCAGCCGGTGAAGTAAAGAAGAATAAGGAGGAGGAGGGGAAGAAGAAGAAGAGGAACCCCCCGTGTGGGTTCCGGGGGCCCCATTGTGAGGGAAAACAATAGACCCACTGCCTCCCCAAAAGCATGTCGTAAGAGTCGACTAATTGGCGAGCTTCCTTCGAAGTCGGAGTGCATCTGCCGGAGAGGCAAGAAACCAACAGTCTATATTCAAGAGAATGAGATCTGTAAAGCTGATGCACACGCAACACTCAGGTTCTGGAGCAGGACTGCAGTTCAGTAGTGGACGAGCAGCCATAACTTTTCGCCAGAGTGTACAGCTGGTGAACGCGAAGAAGAAGAAGAAGAAGAAGAAGAAGAGGAGGAAGAAGAAGAAGAAGAAGAAGAAGAAGAAGAAGAAGAAGAGGAAGAGGAAGAAGAAGAAGAAGAGGAAGAAGAAGAAGAAGAGGAAGAAGAAGACGAAGAAGATAGTCCAAACACCCCAACGAAATAACACAATATATAACACAATAATGTTCTCAAAGTTTCCCTGG